TCAAATACATTTATAAATAATTTAATGAATATTTAAGTATTTTGTCAAAGGCAGATACATCCTTTTTGCAAGCACATGCATAAATACCCATACATATTTCCTATTTATCATTTCCGGCATGTGCAAATCTTTAATTTCTGTGCATTCACTATATTTTTCGTGTAAAGTAATTTACACTAATTTAGCATACACCCGAAAGTTTTACATAAAAAATATATATGAATATAATTTGAATGAAAATTATAAGTATTATTTTTAATATCCACTCAAAGGTCAGTTTTTCTTCAAAATTCCCGCACGATGGCATCTCTCTCTTTAGGCAGATAGCCCTTGCATGCGTTACTCTATTTAATAAAAACTTAATCTGACCTATGTGCCTAATTACAAATATTTTAACATACATAATTTTATGTTTACATTTAGCCATCAAGTTTCAAACTTTTCAAATCTTCTAGAAAATAAATTTTGGCAGATCTCTTTTAGCAATTTTATTAAAATCTATATTTTTGTAGTGCAACAGCTTAGAATTTTATAAAACAAATTCATAATCAAAATCGCTGTTGTTAGTTATCGAAAAATAACCAAGATGTGATTTTTGCGTAAATGTCAGTAAACTATACAAATTGCTATTATCCATCACACTATGAATGTTTCTTTCATGCAAGATTGTCCCTTTTTCGATTTCTATGGAACTGTCGTGTGTCGAAATACTATCAGAATTTTGTCAAGTGAGCTTCTGAATGTAAACAAAAAACACCCCGTCTGGTGACCCAAGCTTCAAAGCAGTGCTTCACTTCTAGCGCGGAATGGCCCCTCCTCCCTTTCCTACCTCCATGCCGAAACCATGGAGGTAGGAAGTAAGATGGAGTCGCCCTAAACAAGTTTCTCCGTACCCTGCTCTGAAGCACCGGCGATCCCTACGTGGTGACCAAAACATTGGATGGGTCATTTACCATTGAGTTCTATGGGATTTGACACGTTCGGGTGTAAATATTTTGTAATTACGTCGCAAATATACATATAAATGTATATATTTTCTTTTTCTACAACACTTCAGAGTCCTAAGTATGTGAAAACAACATATTTTAAACAACATTTCATTCTGAACGGAATTAAATGCTATACTTTTCACAGGACAGTTTTCTCAGAATGGTTTAATTTGAATGAAATATTTTCACAAGTTTGCGTTAATTACATTAGAAAAAAAAATTAAGGTAATTCAATTTTATTCGGTTAAGGTACAAAAATTAAGATCAAAGTTTATTGTATTATTAATATTAAAATTATGCATTATTTCTTTTCTATTTATAGAGCTTCTTCCGAAAATACTTTCTTAAATATGACATGATTTTTTGGCTTCTTTTAAATCGAAAAATGTAAGTCAATTTATAATTAATGCTCTATATAGTTCATTTTAAATTAGAGAATTATTAGGAATTAGCGAAATACTTTAAATAAGTATTTCACTAATTCCTAATAATTAAATAGGTATTAAATAGTATTTGACTTTCTCTGAACATTTTCTGAAAGGGAATAAATAAGTTTTTTTTTTTTTTAAGTATTATTTAAAACTTGTAACTGAGTTATTATAAAATGTAAAGGGAATAATTCTTTTAATTTTACTTAGATTTTTTTTTTTTTTACCCTTCGTTTCAACAATACATATTCCAAAACTCTTTATTACGTTCTTAAGTGCGCATCTCATAGCATTTGCTTTACAATACCTTTTAACAGATTGCTTTCCAATACGAACAATTCTTGCTTAAATAGTTTTATAACGTATTTGTCAACAGGATTTCAATTTATGTTTACAATTCAATATTAAAGTTATTATATATTTAGATAACATTTATAATCGTTATAAATTAGATACATTTAATCATTAGATTTCTTCACAGTACTTTCACAGTTGTTTATAAGTGAATAAATTCTTCATTTCAAATACATTTATAAATAATTTAATGAATATTTAAGTATTTTGTCAAAGGCAGATACATGCTTTTTGCAAGCACATGCATAAATACCCATACATATTTCCTATTTATCATTTCTGGCATGTGCAAATCTTTAATTTCTGTGCATTCACTATATTTTTCATGTAAAGTAATTTACACGTGTAAAGTAAATTTTCGTGTAAAGTAATTTTTCGTGTAAAGTAATTTAATTTTGTGTAAAGTAATTTAGTAGTGCTAAAGTAATTTACACTAATTTAGCGTACACTCGAAAGTTTTACATAAAAAATATATATGAATATAATTTGAATGAAAATTATAAGTATTATTTTTAATACCCACTCAAAGGTCAGTTTTTCTTCAAAATTCCTCCACGACGGCATCTCTCTCTTTATGCAGATAGCCCTTGTATGCATTACTCTATTTAATAAAAACTTAATCTGACTAATGTGCCTAATTACAAATATTTTAACATACATAATTTTATATTTACATTTAGCCATCAAGTTTCAAACTTTTCAAATCTTCTAGAAAATAAATTTTGGCAGATCTCTTTTAGCAATTTTCTTAAAATCTATATTTTGTAGTGCAACAGCTTAGAATTTTATAAAACAAATTCATAATCAAAATCGCTGTTGTTAGTTATCGAAAATAACCAAGATGTGATTTTTTGCGTAAATGTCAGTAAACTAGACAAATTGCTATTATCCATCACACTATGAATGTTTCTTTCATGCGAGAGTGTCCCTTTTTCGATTTCTATGGAACTGTCGTGTGTCGAAATACTATCAGAATCTTGTCAAGCGAGCTTCTGAATGTAAACAAAGAACACCCCGTCTGGTGACCCAAGCTTCAAAGCAGTGCTTCACTTCTAGCGCGGAATGGCCCCTCCTCCCTTTCCTACCTCCATGCCTGAAACAGTCCTGCTGTGATCCTAATGCGACAACGCTGAGAAAAGTAACCCATCAATCACCCCTTTTGATTTTCGACTCATTCTGTGGGGACTGGAAAAAGGTCGCTGCGTCGTATGTGTCTCGAGAGTTACGGTTCAGCCCAAATTTCACCCCGACGAGAGTCTGCCGACGCTAACGGATGACGATGCCTTTCCTGTGAACGTATCTCTCTCGGGGCAAACGTTGAACTGGTTAAGATAAATTCCAAGAATTAATTTGAAACGAATTGTAGAGGTAAACAATTAATTTCTCGGAATATTTTGTTTCAGACATTTCTCTGAAATACGAGTATTAAGAAAGCTAAACATATTATTACTTAATAAATCAACAGCATTTTTCAACGAATTCTTTTTGTCACATTATTTTAACTAGGGTTTATTTTCGAGGGATGTCTTATTCTACAAAAAGTTCCAAAAATCACGATAGGGCTTATTTTCGGAGGATGTCTTATTTTCAGAAAAAGACGGTATGATAATTTAGGAATTTTGATATGTTAGTTATCTTTTGTGACAATTTAGCACTTTTTGTTTAATAACGGCATTGTTTTATGATAATTCTATATATATTAATAAATTTTTGGATGCTTTTCCTTTATCTGTTCTCAATATAGTAAGAGCAGATAATATGATGTATAACACATTATAATTAGTAGTAAGATAATGAGAAAAATTAGAAAAAGGATAGGAGAGTTGCTCATGTAAATTAATGTTTATTTCAGGTGGAAACTGTTTGCCTGTTGCATCTAGAATATAATTATGTACCAGAGCTTCAATTACGCCGATACTTCATAGTTTTTAGGACATATTTCTAATTCTATCCAGAGCGCACTGGAACCCTAAATAAAGAGGCTTCGGCACTCTTTTTATGTAACTGAATAATAATTTCAGTAGAAATTTGATTTAGAAAATTTTATTTTTAGCAATAAAATTGTATAAAAAATCGCTTATTAAATTTTAGTTTATCTCTTTACATTTTACTTAATTTAATTATTTAATTATTTTTAATCTTTAATTATTTTAATAAATAATAAATTGATTATACATTAATTAAATAATAATTATAAATTAATAATGCATAAATCTTAATTTTGAATATCAGTGAAATAATTATTAATTTGATACTCATTAACTATTTAACTTTTAAATCATTAATGATTTTAATCGTCATTTTATTTATTTACTCTTGTTCCTCTTTCCTGATGATCTTCCATAGGGCTCCGGCACTTCTACTTTTATAAATTATGCCCTGTTATGTAATATATAAATATTTTATATAAGAATAATATAATCTTATTATTTCATACAGTACAAAGTCCGTAATCCGGACTCGTCGGGTCTTTGGCGATTCCGGATAAGGGATTTTCCAGATTATAGATCATCAATTTAAATCTGGTAAGATGGCATGCAGAAATTATACAATTAAAAATATGAAACCGTAATTTATGAAATAAAGAGAAATTATGATCTAAAGGGTATCAAAATTTACAAAAAAAAAAGCTTAATATTTGTTTACTTTATTAAACATTTCTTTCAATGTAAGTTGTTTAAGTTGCTTCTCTTTGTGCCAATACTTTCTTCTTTAATTCTATAGACGGACATAATTTCTTGTTCAGTTACAAAGTTCCATTTTGTTCAAGTCCTGTAATTGCTATGTCGAGAATACCGACTAACTTGTCGACCAACATTTTTTCGTTTTCGTTTTTAACCTCTTTGTCACTTTCTTCACTATCGGAAGCGCGCATGGGTGAACGCTTTACTGGATTTACGCTCATGCGTAGCGGACGCGCGCATTAAACGCGCATGCGTGTTTATCTCTTTGAGGTCCGGATTATAGATCATTCCGGATAATGGACGTCCGGATTACGGACTTTGTACTGTATAAGAATATTTAAAAAATTGAAAATATTTGTACATAAAATAATTCTCATTGTTTTATTATTAATTAGTATATCATATTATTATTTATTCTTACGATTTTATGATATTGCGTGCAGATAAAGGAAAAGTTCAAATTTTTGATTAGTCATAGTTATCAGGTGCTGGAATGAAAAAATTAAATTGATTTTACAATTTCCTTAGTGTTTCTTTAATTTCAGGTATATTATGACAAGTGAACATACTATGGAGCCAACTCTAGAATTTTTTGCCAATCACAATTACTTTGGTTTAAAAAAAGAGAATCTGAAAGTTTTCGAACAGTATATGTTGCCTTGTCTTACCCTGGATGGCAAAATAATCCTCGAAACGCCTTGGAAGATGGCAAAAGCCCCTGGTAAGCCCCTTTTTTTCATTCAAATTTCTTTTTAAAATGTGGTAACCAGAGAACTTTTAACAGGTATTTTTCTCTTCAAAACTTAAGTTTTTAAAAGTATTATCTAGGTAAACTGTGAAAACTTATCAAACATCTGTTGCTCCCATGCATTCTTACTGTGTTTCCTACTTGTGTATAGATAGAATAATTTATTTTGGTTGCTTGTAGTTTATCTTTTTAAAAGATTAAGCTTTTTAAGAGATTAGACAAAATCAGTAACATGAGTAAGCAGTGTTCTCTATGATAGCTTCTCTATCTTCATCTGAAATTGAATAAATGCTGAAATATTGTTAAAACAAAACTTTTTTTTTTAAGTCCACAAGAACTTAAATATTGCTTGGTTTAAGATGTTATCAAGCTATTTACAGAATTTTTCATACTAATATTCAAATCTATTGTCATACAATTACTATTCACCTGTGGTTAATTAATTTATTGAATCTATAAATGATTTGTGTACTTTTCCTTAATAGATGAATTAACAACCTAAATATAATTTGAAATTGCCAAGGTAGTATGTGCTTAATTAATACAGCAGCTATCTGTCTCCTTAATGCCCAGACAAAATACATATACTGATGTTCTGAATACTTTCAGCAGTTTGAATTAGTAGCCAAAAAATTCAAAGTTCTTTTAAATTCAAATTTCCAAAATTGGATTTTTGCAATGTTAAATAGGTTGTTGTTTTAGATACATCTACATTCAAAATTTAATTTTTTTTAATTTATTTTCTTCTGGCAAGTCAAGGGGCAGAAAATATTAGATGTAGAGAAAAATTTAATTTTTATCGTAAATGGCTTACATTTTATTTTGAGATGTTGTTTTTCTGATAACTGTTATATTGTGCAGAAGATATACAGCTAAACATTTCACTTAGTTTGTTAACTACAGTCAAAAGTCGTTAATCCGGACTCGTCGGCGATTCCGGATTATCAATTTTTCCGGATTATAGATCATCAGTTTAAATCTGGTAAGATGGCATGCCGAAATTATAAAATAAAAAATATGAAACTGTAATTTATGAAATAAAGAACAATTATGATCTAAAGGGTATCAAATTTACAAAAAAAAAAAAAAAAAAAAGCTTAATATTTATTTGTTTACTTTATTAAATATTTCTTTCAGTGCAAGTTGTTTAAGTTGCTTCATTTTATGTGATAATACTTTCTCTTTAATTCTATAAACAGACATAATTTTTTGTTCAGTTACAAAGTTCTGCTGTTGAAGTCCTATAATTACTGTGTCGAGAATACCGACTAATTTGTCATTCGAAATTTTTTCGTTTTCAATAACCTCTGTGTCACTTTCTTTCACTATCAGAAGCGAAGTATAATGACGAGGAATTTAATTTAAATCTTATCAAAGACGGAGTACATCAAGATGAAGTACTACATTTAGTAAGGAATTATAAGCCAAATAAAATAAAAACATCTGCCCTGAAGATAAGGATAGTGCTGACAGATCAACTTCCAATTCATTGCGCGCCGCGGCGTTTTCCCCCCACCTGCCGCAGAGCAGCTTGAAATTGATGAACAGATTTCAGAATGGTTAGATAAACAAAGGATTATGCCTTTATCCATTTTTTACAGCAATTCCACTTTTTGTTTAATGGACTTCGAAACATACTTTCGCTTTGTAGATCCTTTACATATTAGTAAATATATATCATAAATTCTATTTGAAATAATCGAAAGTTCAAGCTTACTTTTATAAAATTGCTCCAACAGTTTGCAAAAAATAATAAGCCGGATCCAATTCGAAGATTAAGGAACAACGCCTGAATTGGATAATTTTAGCTTAGCTTGTAGTGGCCCAGTTATTGCATGAGAAATAATTATTTTTTATTTCATACATTTGTTCATGTGTTTAATTATTTTATAAAATTAACTTTAATATTTTGTTAATATTCATATTTATATTTCTTTTATGCTGAATGGAAATAAGTAGTTCTATTTATATTTAAATTTCTTTATGCTGAATGGCAACTAGTCTAGTTCTGATTCATGATTGCTAGGTTTTGGTTTCAAAACGTTGCTCGTAGCGTCGCATTTCAATAGCTGGAAAATAAAATAGCTGTTTGTTTATAATTCATGCTGTTCCTAGTCATAAATTAATTTTAAACATTAGTAGCCAAGGCTACATCGTGGTGACCCTGATTAATTTTCGAAATGTCAACAAATGACTCTTCTGAAACTGCTATGAAAGATATGATGCAGTCACAGGAGCTTCATAAGGTGAGTGTAAAAATACCTCCTTTTCGGACTGATAAACCGGAAATATGGTTTTTTCAAGTTGAAGCTCAGTTCAAAATTAGTAATATCGTTTCAGAAGAAACGAAATTTAACTGTTTAGTTTCACAGCTTGAACCTAAGTTCGTCGAAAATATTTGAGACATTGTAACGAACGATAGTGCCACAAAATATTCGGATGCTAAAATTAGGTTATTACATTTATTCAAAGAAAGTGAAAATGTACGAATTAAACGTTTGATTACTGGTATCGAACTTGGAGACATGAAACCAAGCCAACTTTTGCAGAAGTTGAGATCAGTTGCTACTACAGATGTGTCTGAAAATCTGATCAAAACTTTATGGCTGGAGAAGCTACCTGACTCAATAAAAAATATATTATTAGTTAGTGTGAAGATGTAACCAAGTTAGCGTCTGGCAGACAAAATTAGTGATATGAATCGGAAACCAGAAGTATTTAGTGCTAATGCTCATTCCGTTCCCGCAAATGATTTGTTGCAAAGAATTACCTTTCTTGAACAAAAAATTGATCAAATAACCATTCGCTCAAGACGCAGGGACTCGGATTTACGTAATTCACGTTCACGATCTCGAAGCCGATCTCGTAAATGATATGACCCTACTGGCAAATTTTGTTTCTATCACTTTCGATTTGGAGTAAAATGTATTCCAGAGAAATGCCAGCATCCGTGTGCTTGGGTAAAAAATGATTCCAAAAACCAGGAAAACTTGAATCTGCAGTAGGTTCAGCAGCAAATGCTGCTGCAGAAAATATGAAGGATTGTCGCAAATTTCGTTTATTTGTTCGTGACCGAAGATCAAATTTGCACTTTCTTATTGATAGTGGAGCTGACGTAAGCATAATTCCTGCTACTTCACAGAATAAATGTAAAACTGAATACAAACTGTATGCAGCTAATGGTACAGATATTTCCACTTATGGCATAAAAATGCTAACTCTTGATTTGGGATTACGTCGTGATTTTCAGTTTCCATTCATAATTGCTGATGTCACAAAAGGTATTTTAGGAGCTGACTTTCTTCACAATATAAATTGCTTATCGATATAAGTAAGAAAAAATTAATTGATGGCGTAACACAGCTTTGTGTTCAGTGTGATGTCTCTGCTATTTCCAGTGATTACTCAGTAACCGCATTAAATAAATCCATAAAAATTTTCGATTTACTGTCGAAATATCCCGAAATTTCTAAACCTATCCTTTTTCCTACACAAATTAAACATGGTGTTACACATTTTATTACGACTGATGGTCAACCCGTTTATTCAAAGCCACGACAGCTCGATCCAAAACGCTTAGCTATAGCTAAAGAGGAATTTAAATTTATGCTTGACAATGGAATAATTCGTCCATCAAACTCCCAGTGGTCAAGCCCCTTGCACCTTGTTACGAAAAAGGATGGTTCATATTGTCCTTGCGGAGATTACCGACGATTGAATGCGCAGACGATACCTGATCGATACCCAATTCCTCGCATTGAAGATTTTCATCATATTTAAGAGGTACAAATATTTTTTTCTAAAATTGATTTATTCAAAGCTTATTTTCAAATTCCCATTGCAGAAGAAGACAAATGTAAAACGGCTATCATCACTCCTTTCGGTTTATACGAATTAATGTAATGAGTTTCGGTTTAAAAAATGCTCCTGCAACATTCCAAAGATTTATTCATGAAAGTCTTTAGAGGATTAGAATTCGTTTTTTTTCCCTATTTAGATATATACTCATTGCATCCAGTACCCATGAAGAACACGAAAATCACCTTAAATTAGTTTTCGAAGATTACATACATTTGGGTTAAGAATTAATGTTTCAAAATCTGTATTTGCTGTTCCCCAAATCGAGTTTCTAGGCTACCTAATTACACCTAAGGGTTCCCGTCCTTTGCCAGAAAGAGTTCAAGCTATTACTAACTACAAACGACCAGAAACAATTCATGAGCTTGGAACTTTTCTTGGAATACTTAACTTTTATCGTCGTTATATAAAGGATGCAGCGAAGAATCAAGCATTGTTACATGCGTATCTCAAGGGAGCTAAAAAGAGGGTTAAACGTAAAATCGAATGGACTGAAGAAACTGAAAAACCTTTGAAACGTGCAGAATGACCTGGTGAACACGGCACTGTTGTCTTTTCTCCATTCTGAACTACCTCTGGCGTTATTTACAGATGCTTCAGATACGGCGATTGGCTCAGTGTTGCAACAATATGAAAACTCCTCGTGGAAGCCAATGGCATTTTTTTCTAAAAAATTAAGTGATACTCAGCAAAAATATAGCACCTATGATAGACAACTATTAAGCATATATCTTTCAGTTACACTCTAAGCATTATCTAGAAGGAAGAGTATTTACAATTTATACAGATCACAAGCCCTTAATATTCGCCTTTCGTCAAAAACTTGACAAAGCAGCACCTAGACAGGCTCGCCAACTTCAATACATCTCCCAGTTTTCGACTGATATCAAATATGTAAAAGGTGAGAATAATATTGTGGCAGATACATTATCTAGAATTAATGAAATTTCATCGATAGATTATGATAAAATAGCTGATGAACAAACTCAAGATGAAGAACTGAAGAGTTTCCACTACTTCCTTGAATTTCAAGCATTGTTCTCTACCTTCAGGGAAATATTTGTGGTGTGATACATCAACTAAACATATTCGGCCGTATATTCCTCAGGCTTTCAGAAAACACATCTTTCAACGAATTCATGATTTATCACATCCAGGAATAAAATCGACTATGAAATTAATGACATCAAAATTCATTTGGCCTAACATAAAAAAAGATGTACAGTTGTGGACAAGAACTTGCATTCCTTGCCAAAAAGCTAAAATCAGTCTGCATACCAAAACAAAATTAGGTGAGTTTGAAGTACCACCAGGAAGATTTTCTGTCATCCATATCGATCTCATAGGACCACTTCCACCACCTAAAGGGAATATTTGTCTTACTTGCATAGATAGATTTTCGAATTGGATGGAAGCAATTCCTTTAGAAAATATTTCCGCTGAGAACGTCGCAAGAGCCTTTTATAGCAACTGGATTGCGCGTTTCAGAATGCCAAGTAAACTCATTAGTGATCGTGGATCCCAATTTAAAAGTGATACATTACGAGCTTTGTCCAAAATCTGTGACATCAATTTACAACACACTACGGCCTACCACCCCTCGTGTAATGGCAAAGTTGAGTGCCTTCATCGAACATTAAAAACAGCATTAAAAGCCCACAACAACATATCTTGGACGGACACGTTACCAACAGTACTTTTGGGTTTGCGTACTGCTATTCAAGAAGATACCAATCATTCTATTGCGCAAGTAGTTTATGGCCAGAGTTTCAGACTTCCTGGAGAGTTTTTCAGCGAACCAAGTATCCAGACAGCATCGGAGACTTTTGCTAATAAACTCCAGAAACAGATGAAGTTGTTGGACCGAGACTAATTCGTAAAAATTCATCTGAACAGATATTTGTACATAAAGACTTAAAAACTTGTTCTCATGTGTTTCAGCAAATAGATCGGGTAAAAAAACTCTGGAACCTCCTTATGAAGGACCATTTCCTGTTATTGATCGCAAGGACAAATATTTTACTATTAGCATAAAAGGAAAACATATTAATGTATCCCTGGATCGCTTGAAACCAGCATATATTTTAGCTGAGGAAAATTCTCATTTGATACAAACCTGACTACACTATTTGCAGAGACCGGACTCAAATTCGGATGTGAATCAAAAACATTCTCGCACAGGCAGAACTATACGTTTACCTGTTAGATTCAAGGACTGACTAAATTATTTTGATAGTGGTTAACACTGCAATACTAGTTACTACCTATTTCTCCATCTTCGTAACGTAACTTAGTTACTGGTGGGGGAGTAGTGTAGTGGCCCAGTTATTGCATGAGAAATAATTTTTTATTTCATATATTTGTTCATGTGTTTAATTATTTTATAAAATTTAATATTTTGTTAATATTCATATTTATATTTCTTTTATGCTGAATGGAAATAAGTAGTTCATATTTATATTTAAATTTCTTTATGCTGAATGGCAACTAGTTCTAGTTCTGATTCATGATTGCTAGGTTTTGGTTTCAAAACGTTGCTCGTAGCATCGCATTTCGATAGCTGGAAAATAAAATGCAATAACTTAGCTATTTGTTTATAATTCATGCTGTCCCTAGTCATAAATTAATTTTAAACATTAGTAGCCAAGGCTACAATATACCGTCCGTTATACATTAAACCTCCGTTATACATGTAAACGCATTATGCGCATGCGCACACGCATATTCGCAGCCGTAAAAGTCAACGCTATGCAAGCGCAGAAAGTTTGTAGCTTTGAGGTCCGGAATATGGGTGTCCGAATTAACGACTTTTGACTGTATTAGAAAATGAAATGCATTTTTTCATAATAGATTTTTCCGTTTAACTAATTTTGCATTTTACTTATTTCTGACAGATGGCAACGGTGGCCTTTTCCGTGCATTACGCGAGCGTGGCATTTTGGATGACATGACAAAAAGAGGAATCCAATACGTCCATGTGTACTGTGTAGACAATATTCTGGTCAAAATGGCAGATCCAGTTTTTATTGGCTATTGCATTAGCAAGGACGCAAACTGTGCTGCCAAGGTAAGTTTTCTAGTGCACATTTTGCAATTTTTATATTTCTCTGAAATTATAGAAAAATGATTACAGTTAAAAAAATCCTTTGACCTTGTATTTCTTTTGCTATTCCATTTCTGCAATACAATAAAATGCCTTTTTGTGGAATGAATTCTTAAACATATATTTCTTCCTTAAAAATTTAAAATTGACAACATATTTCACATCCAAAAGCTTTATCAATATGCACTTTCAGTTTGCAGTGGTTTTCTTGAATGGGCAGGTTTGTCAGTGCTTAAATTGCGCCGGAGCCCACTGGAGCTCTACTCCGGTACTTCTCAATTTTTGAGATAAATTACAATTTTAACTGGAGTGCAGCGGAGCCCTAAATAAGATGAGCTCCGGTACTTCTTTTTATAAAACTGAACCACAATTTAAAGGGGAAAAAATTAGAATTCCTAACGTTTTAGTTTAACAATAATGATAATTTCCCTAGAAATACGAACTCGTGAGAACATGAGACGTTCAATTAAAGTCCCCTCACTCACATGCGGAAACCTTTCCCTTTAAGAAGGGCAATAAATTTGGGGGAGTTTGTTTAGGAATGCGTAAATTTCTCGCCATGCCATCGTATCTAGTGTATCTATGCTTACAATTGGTTATCCTCGCAGGATGGAAATTTTGTGTTCTTAAATGTGCGTCAAGTGACAGCGAGTGCAAGGAGAGTGAAATACTGAGATAAACTGCTCAAGCACATTCTATACATCGTCTTTCCACAGTATCCACTAATGGAAGCGTAACCAGGAACTTTACATTCATCCTTAGGAGTCAGATTCAGGACTCAATTTACCCCTGCCACACATCTGCTTGATGGCTATAATTATATCGGCAGAGAGCCGTGATCAAAAAGAACGTTCTCTCTCACCAAGGTTTCCCTCCTTTTTTGTTTCCACCCACTAATACCCTCATTCTGTTGCGCCCTGGAATTTTTCATCAGCTATACTTTAAGTATATTTAATTTTTGTGATGATAAAAGAACTTCCCCCCCCCTTACGATCAGAGCTTAAATTGGGCCAGTGCTTCTTAGTTTTTATAATAAATCAAAAATATAGCCGGAACACACCAGAGACCTGAATAAGAAGGCTGTGTCACTTCTTTTATGTAATTGAATAGCAACTTCAGTAGAAATTTTATCTCGAAAATTTTATTTCAACAATAAAATTATATTAAAAATTGCTTATTAAATTTCAATTTATCTCTTCACATTTTATTTATTTTTAATTGTTTAATTGCTTCAATCTTTAATTATTTCAATAAATAATAATTATCTAATAATTATCAATTAAATGATCATTAAATATTTAATAATTATTGATTACATAACAATTTATAAAACATTAATTAATATTTATTAAGTAATTTGATAATAATTATTTAATTTTAAAATTATTAATGAGTTTAATTATTTAACCTTTTGAGGCCGGGGATTTGGTAGCAGTAAAAGCTACCAAAGGACAGGGAATCTTGAACCGAATGCTTTCCCCCCTTTAAGAAATCTATTTGCAACAAAGATTCTCGTGTGTAGTTTAATGGATTCTCAGAGGGGTGCATCTATGTCGCAAAAGGAAGACCTTTGAAAGAGATAAGTGGTTAAAACCCCAGGGATGTCAAATTTGACATTTCACCCCACTTTTCAGCCTGGAAAATGGGGGAAAAAAGACATGGCCACTAAAGTGGACAACCCCGTCTTTTCAAAGAGAGGACTCTTTGGCCACTATAATGGCCATCCCATCATCGAAAGGTTAATTTATTTATTTACTCTTCCTCTTTGCTGATGGTCTTCCATAGGGCTCCGGCACTTCTAATCTTAGAAATGAAGCTCTGAGGTTTGTTCTTGAATGGGGAGGTTTGTTCATTCAAGGTGTTTAGGTTTGTTTTTCAATCAGCAATCAGCTTTGGCCACAAGTATTGTTTATGCTTGTGATGTAGTTATGCTTCTTTTGCTTGAACTACTTTACATGGATTTCTGATAACCATAAGGGATGGCTGAAACTTGGGATTTGAAATATAATGTTAAACAAAATCAAGGGGCCAGAGAAATTAGTGTGAACTTTGTGCCCTAATTCAATATACAGCACAATATAAAAATAAATTTACAAAAGCAGATAAAGAATATGCTGCAGAATGAAAAGTGCAACACAATTTAAAGATATGTGCGAGAAATGGACAAGAAAATAAACAACAAAATCAGCCAAAAAAAGTGTTTTAATTTAATGAAAACATATCTGGTGTCATATCATTGAAAAAAACCATTGTAATCTTTACTTTTCGGAGTGAAAATAAAAACTAATGTGCTTCATCAAGTGTCTAATAAGTTATATGGGCATCTTGAATGTGGAACTTAACACCTGTGAGGAATTAAATTGAAGCGATCAATTAGGTTTTGGAAGATTTTTCTCCATTTTCTGAAAAGGGTATTTTTTAACTGAAGGTGCATCAATAGAGATTGTGCTGTAAGAGCATAACCTCTTCTATTTTGTCTATGCTAAACACATTTGTCAGATTCAAATTCAAGGAGCATGCCCTCAAATGTTTTCTCTTCAGGCAGATTTATAAGGCCCATTCAATGATGTATCTCAGTTTTTGTGCATTTGAAATTTATTCACCATTTGCTTGGCGCATCATAATCTTTAATGTTTTGTGCCAATAAAATAAACCAACCAACCTCCCAATGATGTCAGGTTTTGTTATTCATAAAGAGATCAGAATTAAAATAAGGCTTTCAATTGAAATAAGGCTAAGGATCTAATAAATTCGTCATTGTTTCTTTAAGCAGTCAAGGACCCATTCCAAATGACATCAAAATTATTTTGTCTGCTTAAATTTCTGCCTGAACAAGCACCCTGCATCCAGCAAAATGTAATCTTAGCAGTACAAAACAGAAATTGCTTGCAGTATGAAACAAAAGCAGCAATACACAATAAAGATTGCTTTTTTGGCAATGAATGATTGTAGCTAGAGCTACCTAACTTCATAATGGCATCCAGTTTTTCTTTTTTTAGCCTTGTAAATTACACTTTTTTTTTTAAAATCTTTATTCCCTGACTCAAACATTACTGCCCTTTGTATTTTTAGTCTTCAACAGCTGCAGATATATGAGCAGTATTATTTATCTGTCTAGTGCTGCATTTTCAAATAACTGAATATAAATATTATTTTTAAATTTGAATCAGTTTTATGTTTTAGGAATAAATAGTTTTTTATCTTGATGTTACTATCCTGTTCCCAGAGTCGTAGCTAGGGTTTTCAGCGCCCAGGGACAACTGAAGATTTCGCACCCCGTACTGCTTGCCAAGGATGGAAAACATTTAATTCTAAATTGTGGTAACATCTGTTTGGCGCCCCTTGGATTCTGCGCCCGGGGACAGATGCCCCCCTTGCCCCCCTCTAGCTACGCCCCTGCCTGTTCCTAATCTATTAATGCTGCATATTTTTTTTGTTCAAATAAATTTAATAATAAAAGTTATAAGTCATAAATCTGATTAACCTTATCCTACAGGTGGTGGAGAAGGTTGTACCTACAGAAGCAGTTGGTGTTGTTTGCCGAGTAGGGGGCAAGTTCCAAGTGGTTGAATATAGCGAAATATCTTTGGAAACTGCTCAGAAAAGGAACCCCGATGGGCGACTCACCTTCAATGCTGGCAATATCTGCAATCACTTTTTCACAGTTGACTTTCTTCGCCAGATTGGCAGGTAGATTCTCTTTTCTTTATATTAAGATGGGAAATTTTCATACCCTCTATATTTTAAGTCTTTTATCTATATACCTATTATATATTTACATTAAATAAGATTATACAAATAAATAAAGTGTAATCTTGTTAGAAATTTAATATTTTAGGCAATCTGAAGGAAAGTTTTTAACAGTCATCTCTTACTTTCAATGGCCTACTTAATCATATAGTATTTACATTGTGATATTTTTGCTTATGCTGAGTGCCCAGTCAATTTTCAGTACTAAATATTATGAAATGAAGCAATTTCTTAGTACCTTGTGTTTATTATTATCTTGGAATCGAGCCTATTATACTTGCATATGTTTTTGTCATATGTATATTTTATCTGAAAAGTCATGACACATTTTTTTCTATGCTCTTCAAAGGTCCTTTACTTACAATGGTCAGTGAACAGTTTATTTTCCGATCTGTTTGATAATTTTTACTTTCTTTTAATGAGCTTCATAATTCCTCATTCACAAAAAAAAAAAAAAAAAAAAAAAAAAAAGCCTAGCTGTATTGGCAAAAAACTGAACAAGCTGTTGACTTATGGCCTCATCCGAATTGAATGTTATACCACAATAGAAATTTTGAGGAGAGTAAAACAAGCGAAAGACTGAAGGCACAAGACAGGTGAGTATAATGTACGTGGTAGCGCTTTTCATCCAAACTCTGTCAGGGATCAAACTTGTGTGTGGTCTTGTTTCCGAGCTCCTACTAATGAGCCAAGAAATCAGTTTGACTGTATGCTGTCACCAACAGGACAGTTTCATTGAATCCACATTTCAGTAGCTTCCAGAGCGCATTAATTATATTGGAATTGCATTCCATCCCGATAACATGAGGCTACACTCTTGTCATTCAACGTTCACAAGCAGCCCTTGACTTCAAAAGAGTCTTTATACTGTAGATCAATCGATACGTAAGGCTTTTCATGGTAATGGGTAGATTTAAAGGTGTAAAAAATTTTACACCACACCCTGGGACAAGAAAAAGCAAAATGACATTAAATTCATGCATTCAAAGCTTTTGTGAAGTAAGATTATCTTAAAAGTTAGATGCAAAAGTAGGAGAGACGAAAGTTATGGCAGAACTGCACTGCCTTTCCCACTGATCTGCAGTTGTTTACGTCAATTTCGTTATAATAGTGGTGTATTTCTTTACTTGAATAGTTGTTTTCAGCAAAGGTAATAATGTTCTGTGCTGCCTGGCGACCGGCTTTTAATTTGTCTACTGCAGAGTTAGCATTATGTATTTTTCCAATTATTTCGATAATGGTTTTTAATAAATCTTGAATCTTGTCATCAAGTATCCATGAAAGCGCATCATTGATATTCTATGGAGTGGCTTTCAGACATGATTTTAATTTTTCAATGTACTGAATTTTTGATTTCTGGGATTTGTCAAGATAATGAGTCGGTTTGGATTCAGAGTTCATTAGTAGCATTCCCGCCTTCTTCAGAGTCAGGATTTATGGCATCTAATTTCTGGAATTTATTAGTGTGCGTAATATCCATAGGCTCGCTGGAAACTGGGCTTTTCGCGGGATTTCTTGGAGTTTTCCATTCATTATTAGTCATGGATCCACTCGTGGTCATATTCTCATTCGTCATATTCGTCAAAGTGGTTTTTTATTGAGGGTAGCATCCAGTGGCATAGCTAGGGTGGGGCAAGGGTGGACATCTGTCCCCGAGCGCAACATCCAAGGGGTGCCAAATTGATGCTACGAAATTTTTAATTCAATGTTTTCCATTTTTTGGCACACAGAAAGGAGCACAAATTCTTCAGCTGTCTTAGCTATGCCCCTGGTAGCATCAGTTGGGTTCAGCTGTTGGACTGAATCAGTAGTTCGAAGCTTCTTGCTAGATTCTGAGAGGCTTCTTTATTTTCCTTGACTTGTCTCAGTGTTTCATCTACTCCGTGTTGTTTTACCATTTCCATCAAAAAATTAATCCTTTCCATCTCTGAATTATTTTCTGGTTCATCATTAACTGTAGGAGGTTTCGTAACTGGATCAGTTTCCATTCTTGCAGGCTTTTTCCTTTTAGCATTCTTGGCTTTATTCAGGCTTTTTAGGAATTCCTTAAGTCTCGCTGGGAGAGTTTATTATTTTATGAAAAATTTGGAGTCTGCATTTTAGCTAAAATCATCGAGGCTGGGAGTCCTATAAAAGCACATTTTTCCACAGTGGTACCCAAAGGTAACACTAAGGTAAATCAGAATTAAATTAACTTAGAGAGCAATTGCACTGGCTGCCTACTTTTACTGAGCCATGCGGGTGAAACTGAAAACGTTTAATTCAGATGAGGCCATAAATCAACACCTTATTCAGCTTTTTGCTGACAGTTCTTTTATGAATGAGGTATTATGAAGCTCATTAAAAGAAAGTTATTGAACAAAACAGGCAATATGCTACTGACTAATCGTTGTTCTTTATATAAATATAGGACTTTTGAAGAACAGAAAAAATGTCTCATGACTTTTCAAACAACCCAGATATAGGGAACTTATGCCACTAATTAAAATACCAAATTTTAATCAAGTATAAACTGATTCATAGCTTTATTATCTGAACCACTGAATATTGTAATATTGCATATTTATAAAATAAGAACATATGATTAATTTAGAAATATTTTCCTGAACAAATTTCAAAACATTCTCCACTGGAAACACTCAAAGCTAATAACCTTTTCTGAATGTGTTGCAGGAATTCAAATTTAAAGAGAGAGAAATGAAACAAATATTACCTGATAAAAGCATCAAAGTATACTGGCTTATGCTCTCTTTTCTGCCAATGCATGAGTAACATGGCTTAACTATTAGCTTGAATATTTCCACAATTTAAATTAATTACAATATGTAATTAATTTAAATTGTGAAAGGCTTCAAGGTATTTATTTCGAATTATAATTTTTTAGTGGAGCTAAAAGATTAAAGTATCACATAGCACAGAAGAAAATTCCGTATGTTGGAGATGATGGCAAGATGGTTAAGCCTCTCAAACCGAATGGAATAAAACTTGAGAAATTCGTTTTCGATGTATTTGTATTCTCCGAGTAAGTGCATTTTATCTGAAATTAAGAATTACTAATAGTAAAAATATTACTAACAATTATTAATATTAAAATTATTAATAAGTAGTAATAATAAGTAATTAATTTTAATATTAATAATTCTAATTAAATGAAAAATCTGAATTTTTTTAGCCTTTCAGCCTGATTTGTTATGTAACTATCTGTATCAGCTCTTAAATCAGTTTTGTACTTTTAAATTAGGAAAACTAAAACACATCATGAGCTGAATTGATCTGATCTTTTAAGCAGTATCAGCTCATGAATTTTATAAGCTTGTTCATTTTAAGCTACAGTTCTAAGTATGAATGGAACATTTATTGATTTTTTAAATGTGTTTATTTGCACTTCAAATGAGGTGTTATTAATTCCATTATGCAGAGAGTAAGAAATTGTGCCATTGCAAAATAAGTTATTGCATATCTGCAAAGCATATCTTTGTCTTCTATTTTATAAAAGTACTTGTGAGCACAAAAAGTGAACACTTGAAAACCAGTTTTTATATATTGAGAACATTTTAACAAATACTATGTTTGTATCATTAATTTAATTAATAAATATATCTAATGCCTTATGATATGTACCTTGATTAAATTTGCATTTTCTCCCTGCAAACACTATCATCTGCATGAAATTGAAAGTTTAATGAAACTAATGTAAAATTTTCTGAAAATTTTATTTGAATGGTTATATAGTTTTTAAAATATTTTATTTTAATATTTTTCTTTTTATATTTGTTCTTCAATTAGTAAACGAAATTATAAAAGCAAACATTTAAACATAAAAAATTTAAATGTTTTCTGTATTCTTTTTATCATACTGATGGACTGCAAGTTTACATCTGCTATTAAGTATTGGATGTAACTATACAATCAATCTAGTTGCAAGTTAGACTTAACTTTTTATTGATTTATTATAATTATCAGTTGGCAATGCAGTATGAAGAGCATCTGCTGACATGAACTTTGTCTTTTTGTCTTGCATTAGGATATCCGAATTGTATGAAAGAAATGACCATTTGTTATTATCATGGAAAATTAATGTACCGTATATTCCACGTATAATGTGCACTGGTGTATAAAGTGCATCTGTAATTTCAAACTGCATTTTTTAATTTTTAGGCATATATTTGCTATTATAACATGCACCTTTTTCATTATGAAGAAACCTGAAATATACATGTAAGGTCTATTATTTTTGAAGTCACAAAATTCGAAGATGTTTCGCAGGCTTTCAAACACTGGCTTTTTTACAGGCTTTCAGACCCCTTATCTCTGAATGACAAGCTAAATACGAGTGCCAGGAAAATGCTTCAGGGAGTAAATAATTGTGCAAAGAGCGTGGGTTATATTTAATGCAGTTGAGAACAAGAATATTATTCTAGAGTTTCATGAAAAGGAGGAAGTAATCTGATATGCGAAAATTATTTCCAGTCAGAATTAGGTGTCGGATGTTTTCTCTTTCTGTAGTCATTTGAAGCTGTGATTTTGAAGTGAACATTGATGGCTTTAGTAAATTGCATTTGCTTTAGCTGAAAGGCAGTTGTTCTGATGTTTCTTTTAGTAATATGGTTCCTGCCAAATGAAACAAACATAGTGCTGGTTTCAAATGCAAAGTCATTCAGTTTGTGAAAGAAAATAGTGTTGCAGCAAGGATATTTGGTTTGGTGAAAGCTCTATATGAGAATGGAAGAAAAATTATATCACAGTAATTAATATGCTAAGGAATGAATGTTCGTTGTGGAATGGCCTATCCTAGAAGAAAGTGTTGTGAACTGGTTCATAGAAAATATTCAGAATCGGCAGCTACAATAGATGTAGAAATCAAATTTTTGTATGCTCATCTTTTCCTTACTTTTAAAGCTATTTTTTTTATATCTGCCTTATAACTTACACCCCTAAATTTCGTTATCAGTTTTTGTATTAAAAGTGCGCATTATACACCAGAATGTATGGTAAGTGAAGGTAAAAAAAATTGAGTAAGGTAATGATATAATAGTGGCTAGTGCGTCACATGGCTGCACCACTGGTCCTGGGTTCGATCCCTGTGCTGGGCAAGGCTCACTCAGCCTTTTATCCCTTAAGTGGGTCAACAAAGTGAGTACCAAATTCACTCGGGGTCTAAACACTGGGGATCCTGAGACAAGCTGACCACTTTCCGAGGGCATATGCTGATGCACTCCAAGGCCCAAAGTTCAAGAAAGGAGAAAAAAAGGCTCTGCAGGCCATCGTGGCCCACTAGAGTGTTGCACCACTGAGTTTAGTTCAATGATATAATAATTGAAAATGGTTGTTCATATTGTAATAAGGGACAAATAAGAATGATTTTGCTCTTATAAAACTGATGCCACATTTATAATGTTAACTTGTGTCTGAATTTACTGCCAATTTTGGCCAGTTACTATGTTATGTTGTTGGATCTTCAACCAACATCCATGGTTTTCTTATTATATATATTGTTTCATAAGAATGTGTTAGATTCAAATTATATATATTTATATATATATATTTCTTTAATTTGTAAAAGAAAATATTTTACAGATAAGTTATTATTTATACCCCCTGCTGACTTTTACTTATTATTGTTATTGTTTTTATTTGCCATTGTATAATTTTTCTCAATATTAGCAAATTTGCTGCATGGGAAGTGCATCGTGAAGCTGAATTCTCACCTTTGAAAAATTCTGATGATAGTCCAAAGGATACACCAACAACAGCAAGACTTTCCCTTTATGCCTTGCATCGACAGTACATCAAAGATGCTGGTGGTCACTTTGCAGATGAAAATTCAGAAACTTTTGTATCTGTGTAAGTTAATTGTATATCAAATTTTTGTAATGTGTGCATCAAATTGCAATAATCAGGCTCTCACTGAATTATTTTCAGAATTATTTGGTATAAATCTCTGTAATTTTTTTGCTTTGAGATAATATGTCAGTTTTAAATGCAGTGTAACATCTTCTTAGGCACTAACATATTTTTTGATGGGATGAAAAGCCGTAACTTCAGATTTGTTCTTGTTAATTATATCTTTTGTTTTATTTGTAGTATATAATAATATAATGGAATCAAATCGAAGGGATAACATATGTAAAATTTGTAAATTTTTCTAAATATTGAAATCCATCCACGTCTACAGTTTAACAGTTTTAATAAGCAGGCAAAATAGGGGGAGGAGTGCCAGTGAATGAAAAAATCATATCGAAATTATCTAATATCAACTTGATTATTCTTCCTTGAGCAAAAGAGATTATTGAATTGTAATAATAAAGTCTAAATATTATATGGCTGTAATGAATATTCGGTTTTAGCATTTACATAAATATTACACAATTCTTATCATGAATGTATATGAAGATGGTAGTAGTTTTATTTTAAATTTCTCTTTATTCACTGGAAGAAAAATCGTTACTCATATAGAGAAATATTTTTACAATGTAAATTACAGAGCATTGAATGTCCCACAAAGCATGCTACATGCTGTTGTGTCCAGATCTCTAAAATGAGTTCTACTTATTGCCGTGGACTGGTTTCTGCTCGACTCATTCGCTCGAGAAAATTACTGGTAGCACTGTCTATCAGCATGACGAATATTAAATTGATTACAGGATCCCCTTTACCAGAATGCTTAAGACATGAATAGTAATAGATTATTCACAATTAAAATGTACTTTGTCTTCTGGAGCACATTATTCAAAATGCATAATGAGAAAATGAAGAATGAGTTAAAGCAGTTAAAGCTTGTGTTTGGATGAAGTCAGGGCAATATTACTGGTTACAGGGTTTGGAGAAGTCAAAATCTCAAAGAATGTTAGTTTCAACCAGTCAGTTCTTAGACGGATTTCTTGGCATGCTCTATCACAGTAAAAGGTTTTTTCTGTGATAGAGCATGCCATATGCATAAACTTTAACACATTTGCTACCAGAATTGAAATTGTGTGTATTCTCGCACATGCCAAGAATATTCATAGTTACAAGACACTATGAGAATAATCATAGCTGGCAAGCAAATTCAGTTTGTCAAATACAAATTATTTTAATAGATCGCTGTATAGCCCATTGTATGGAGTAGTCAGAGGAGGTTTCACTGCATCATTTTTAATGAAGACATGGGCATATGTGTTCAGTGTGGGCTATACAAGATGATTTGCTGTGGTAAATAATGGTGGAATTAAAGGCAGTTTTTATCACCTCTCGCAAATTCTGAAGAAAAGATGATGGATCTCTAGTAAAAGGGGATTGAAAAAACTTGGATGAAAGTTCAAGTGTCATGCGATAGATTGTTTTGTCATCTATGTATCTGTCTATCCTGGAGATCTCATTTGGAGGAGGAATTCAGATTAATTAGCACAATTGACAGAGCCTCAATCCAGTAAATATTATTATGGAAATTTATTGCTTGTATGAAACTCTTTTGAAATTGTTCCATGAGAAAATTTGAAGAAGGATGGTGCACTGAGGATATACCCCTATTGTTATTTCTCCATTTTAAGTTAACGAAGTATTGTAATTGTGAAAATTTTTAGGTATCATATTTCAATAAAAATAAAAAATTATTTATTATTTCAATAAAAATAAGAAGTTATTACTCGAGTGTATTTGAACGATGTTTTTGCATGACATCTGTACATATGAACAGAATAAAGGACTCTTTCCCCGAAGCAGGTCGTAAAATGGATTTAAATAGATTCAGAAGAGCTATTTTTTATGATGTGTATGTATGTACGTCCACACACATACACTGATCGACACTGAAAATGCAACACCAAGGAGTGGTCAGAAATTTACGTAAATTTTAGAGTAGATGCATGTCGCTGAGTTATGCGAACGATTTAAATTCGCAGCTCTCCAACGCACGTGAAGTAAGATATAAGGGAATGAGCGTGCAGAATGGGCAATATTCGTGTCATTACTTCTGCCAGACGAATTATCAAAGAAAGTTGGTTTTTGTCAAGGAGGATACGTGTAAGCGGAGAGAATGCCAGGCCGCTGTCAACGAAGGCACTTCCAGCAGATAAACGATTTTACGAGGGGTATGGTAATTGGACTGAGAAGGGCGGGTTGGTCCTTACATCAAATTGCAGCTGATACCCACATGGATGCGAGCACGGTACATCGGCTATGGCGAACATGGTTGGAACAAGGAGGAGTGCAAGTGCAGCCAGAGTGACGTCAGCACGCGGGAATCGATGCATCTGCCGACAAGAACCATTTCCCGTCGATTGGTTGAATGTGGCCTGCACTCATGGTGTCAGTTAAGAAGACTGCCATTGACCCCATAGCATAGACGCCAGCATTTAGAATGGTGCCGGATAGGAGCGATGTGGATGACAAAATGGCGAAACGTCATGTTCTTAGATGAGTCACGCTTCTGTTTATCCAGTGGCAGTCGCCGCGTATGGGTGTGGCATCGACTTGGAGACAGATCAAATCCGACAGTAACTGTGGAACATCCCACCGCGCAAGAATGTGGGCATAATGGTTTGGGGCGCTATTGCCTATGTTTCCAGGTCACCTCTAGCTCGTATTCAGGGCACTATGATGGCCCTACGATACTCGGATAATGTACTGCGGCCGGTGGCAATACCCTACCTTTAGAGGCTGCCTAATGCAATTTTCAGCAGAATAACGCCCGACCACACATTGCTCGCCACACACAAGGTTTACAGATGCTTCCCTGGCCACTGTACTCTCCTGACCTGTCACCAATCGAACATGTGTGGGATGTGATTGGACGCCGTTTGCAGACTCTGCCCCTGCCTTGTTCAAAAGAAGAACTGTGGCAAATGGTTGAAAGGGAATGGAGAACCATCCCTCTGGACACCATCAGCACTCTTATTGACTCTATGCCTAGATGTCTTTCTTTGTGCATTGCTGTCCACGGTGGTCCTACATCCTACTGAGCTGATGCCATTCTCGCTCTGTATTCTATCATTTTGAAATAAAGATCGCTTATTGCTGCTTGCTGTCTGTCTTTTTTCCAAATTTTATCATTTTCTGACCACTCCTTCTTGGTGTTGCATTTTCAATGTCAAGTAGAGTATGTATGTATCTCGCATAACTCAGAAACAAGTAGCCATGTAACGTTGAAATTTTTGTACATGGGACTGCTATAACATCTAGTTATGCACCTCCCTCTTTTTTTTTTTTTTTTTTTTTTTTTGTTTCAATTGGTACACCAAACGTATATATATACGTGATGAAAAAGATGTAGTTATGTTGATGGTATTGAATGTAGATCCATATTGAAGAGGAAGCTTGGCAACCAAGTGAGATCAAATATTCAGTTTTATTTCAATTGATATTTGCAGCCACAATTTGCTTCTCACTTTAGTTGTGCCTGTTCAAGAACATTTACATTTTTGATACTGCTGCAGTAGGAAGAGAACAGAGCAAAATACCATCTTAACAGAAAGAAAAGGTAGAAGTTAATGTGCAGAATTATCCATTATGGAGGCTCACGAGGAGAAGGTTCTGGCTTAGGTTGCTTACTAAGAGAAAGGTTTCAATTCTTGAAATTTTGAGTTCAGGTTCTGAAATAGCTGCGTGATCATTATGTAGTGCAGAAAAAGGCATTACTATTTTTAGAAAAGAGACTGGGAATTAAGTGGATATTTTTAGTTTATTATTTTTAGATTTACATATTTTTATTTTAGATATATATATTTTTATCTTACATATACATACATGTATATTCCTTTTATGTTAACTGGCTTAGTGAGCGCAGCATTATTTATTCTTATACAGTGAAAATCATTTAACATGAAACCGAGGGGACTGAAATATTTTTTCATCTTAAAGGATATTGAAAAAGAAAACACATATTCAGCAAAATTAAGTTTATTAGGGTACATTTTACTTACATGTATATATGCATGTATTTAATAAAAATCAATGAAACAAAAACATCCATAAGAACTTAATGAAATTTAATACAAATTTTTTAAAGTTATTTTGAAAAACAAAACATTATTGAGTTTTCAGAAAATAATCCAATATTTTTCTTTGCATTGTCTTTTTTAGCATCAAATTGTTAACAAATTGTTCAATGTCATCCATTTTGTTATTCATTTCACCACTGGAATGTGCATCTAAATAACTGCACATATTTTTTATGATGTTCCTTTTTTCGGATGATGGGTTAACAGGAGCTGCATTATTCCTATAATACAGTAGAACAGTCCATTAATACAGAAACTTTCTCAAACATTTCATTAAGTGTCGGCTCAGTTTCAATATCCTCCCTTTCCTTTTCTTTCGGCACCAAAGAATCTGATTCTTTTGAGAATTGTGTGTGATGAAAACAATTTTCATTCGTCCTTAGAGTCAATGAATTCCATGCAGAGTGCAACATATGAACCAAACTCACTAATTTTTGCTCACACTGCGATGTACTCATCACCGAATTCCAAAGCCAACTGATGAGAGATGAAATGTTTGTGTGGCTTTTGTGGGGGTGGAAGGTGAAAGTAGCGTAGAAAAACAAAACTGGCTCATGTAACAGGCTAGTCCGAGGGTATTTCAAAGCCAAGTTAGCCTCTTTTCTATGAAACATGTGAAACCACCTCTCTTTCATTTCACATCCTGCTTAAATCTCGCCTGCGAGGGCAGTGTTTTCCATATTTTGTTTATTCACAGAAAGGATATCTTTTCGTGTTAAGCGATTTTTTTTAAAAGATATTTTTATTTCATGGTAAGAGAAACAAATTGCATGAAAATACATAGTAGTTTGTCGGGATTGTTGTATTATTTCGTGTTAACTGATATTTCGTTTTAAGCGTTTTCACATTGAACATATTTCACTGTATGTTGGTAAATTGTACATTTTTTACTTTAAAAGTGATTGAATTATATTGTTCTTATGTTCTGGTTAAGGTTTTCATGCCTATAGTTAATTTGCATGCAATAGTCTTATAATTATCAACAATTTAAAATTAGAACTTGGCCTAACAGGGTCACCATTTGTTTACATATGAAACACTTACCAGGTGTCCCAAAAATGACTGATGGATTTTGTAAATCAATCAAAAAAAGATGGAATGCGATAGATATGTATCATTTGCGGCCTTATGCTTAGGAAATCAAGGAATTCTATCCCACCAAATTTCAGATTTAGTTAACATTTTCACCCACAAATGGCACAAAACTATAAAAAAATAAAAAGTAGTAGAATAGTGCATTAAATCAGCTGGTGCATGAACTTCAGTGTCATTTTGCCCAGTGGGGGCAAAAGTTAACTTTCAATTTTGTGCACCGAAAATTTTATCTTCGTGTCTGCTGGCCGAATTGCTCGTTTTTGCATACATACTCATTGTAATAATTGTTTTTAACTGTATTTGGCATTTTAAGTTTTCTTTAAGTTTTTAATGAAGATGTTTAAATTTTCTTATGTATTTTTTTTTGCCTTGCCATGAAATTAGAACTAAATTGAATGAACAAGAAATGTATCTGTAATGAAATACAAGGAAATAAGTTTAAATGAAGTGCAGCAAAAAATTAGTATAATTTAATAGGCCATCCATACAAGGAAGTCACATGGTGTCCACATCATATATTTAGATTTTGTAAAGAAAGGCGATTTAAAAAAAATTTTTTTTTGGCTGGTGGTCTGTATATTTTAGATGTTCAAATTTTAGACTATGCACTGTATTTAACACTTGAATAACTATTACTCAATTTTCATCATAGATGTATAAAAAGACAGCTCCCACTTCTGTTAATGTTTCATCTTTAATCACGACACAAAAGTCCGTATAAGAATAATTTTGCAATTTAAAGTATGGAACATTGAAAGTCACATTAAGCATGTGATATATGTATGAGTCCATATTGTCAGAGTTCTGCTTGTTGCTGTGGACCAGTTTTTGCTAGACTGGTAACACATTCTCTCAGTGTGAATGATATTAAATTGATTCTCTGCAGTTCTCTGAAATAAAATTAAAGGTTTTGATGCATATTGGAACCTTCAAGAAAAATTGTTTCAGTTTCTGGAGCATTTTAAACTCTTAATTGGAAACAGCATGTTTTCAAAGTTTTTAGAAAGTGTATGCAATTTAAGGTTCCCTTCTGTCAGTAATTAATCTCATGTATTCAGTAATCTGAAGAGATTTATGTAAAAGGTTGAAAATTATTTAAAATTATATTTTTGTGTTCAAAAGTATTGGAGATCTTTTAATATGCTTGAAAAATTTTTAATATTTTATTTCTTTTTTCAGAGACTTGAATGTTACTGGAAATGATGATGAAAAGAAAGAGTAAGTTTTTTTATTAATTTGCAAAAGCACTGAATTTGTCATTAAATGTATTTAAATTTTTGTGGATTTAATTTTTCAGTTCATATCATCTTCAGTTTATGCATTCTATATTTACATAGTTACAGAATACATTGGCTTCTAAAAGTTAAGCTTGTGACAGCAAAATTAACAGAAATGTAAAGCTGTGATCAACATCAAATTGCACATGAAGGCAGCAAATGCTTTTGCTTGAAAGGTAGCAAATATTTATGCTTGAAAGAAAACAAGCATTATGCACAAAGATGGAAGCAATATTTAATTTTTGTAAATTATATGATGACATCACATTTGGGTCATTGTCAAATCGATGTTTAAAGCTAGAAACAAAAATTTTAAAGTATGTAACCAACTTAGATTTCCATACATAGTTTACGTCTGTTGCACAGGCTTTCATTGAGGTTATCATCCATTACGCATGTTAGCTATGGTCATTTTTTTTTTTTCATTGGGGTGGCTTGAACTGTGTGAGACTGGCTGGAATAGGTAAACATGTAGAGATGACATGCCCATGGGCATCCCAAATATTTTCAATGGCATTAAAGTTGGGAGAATACAGCTGCCACTCCATACTAGAAATGCTCTAATTATCTAGGTACTTGTTTATGAAGTTGGCTCGATTGGAATGCTTATTACCTCCCATAGAGGAAATTAGGACCAACTACTGAGTGTAAAATTTCCCAATGGGATGTAGGATGTGATCTTTACAATGCAGAGCCATAACAAAACTGTCTTTAAAGATGTGCAGCTAGGAGCAATATCCTCGCTGAAATTCCAGCTCACACCGTGATGCTGTCACCTCTGAGTGTGTGATATTCGATGATGTTCTGGGTTCGATTTTGTGTATATCATTCTCTCCAGAGTCTTGCATATTTATCACCTGACTTCAAGGTAAAATCTGAACTTATCTATGAAAAGGATTTTGCATCAGTCCGAGACAGTCAATTTGATGTTGATGAGATCACTTTAATCTTGCCTTTCTGGATTGGGTGGTTAGTTTAACACAAACATTTGGTACCCAGTCAGTTCATGTAAAGTCTTCAGCAGAGTATTGGCAGATACCGTTTTATCATTAAATCATTATACTGTTAAGTGAAGACTGCCATCAATATGAAGGACTAGAGAAGTTGGGTGTTGGCACCTTGTTATTGACTTATTGAATATCATGTTTCCTTGTGTATAGATTCTATTAGTAAATTATTTCTTTTTATGAATAATGCCACATCTGATCAAATCAGAGCAGTGGAATTTTTTTTGTAGAATGAGAATATCCTTCATACTGACATATTTTTGTTTTTGAGGTCAGACAGAATGTGGGCTTGTTAATTCAGCAGATATCACTCTTTCCAAATTTTAGTCCAATTGAGAATATTTGAGACATTAAAGGAAGACAAATTTCAGTTGGCCTTCCTCTGCTGGAAAACAATGAAGACCAAAATGATGTAATGGAGAGTAAGAATAATCTTGACCCAGGAACCTCTAAAGGCCTTAAAGCATACCATGTGATTGTATTTGTTGTATCACAGTTCTAATGAACTAGTGTGTGACTTTTTTTTTTGCAAGACCTGCTCACATTGCTTTGATTTTTTATTCCCTGCAGATTGTGTTATCTTCTGTTAAGTATTGGGATATAATTTAGTTACTATGTTATATCTCATTCTTGCACTGTTTTATGTTTAAAAAAATTTGAAAAGTTTCAGATTTTAATGGTCGCCCAAAAGGGCTCTTTTAAAGTTTAATAATGGTCTATCAGTAGATATTATCAAGAGAGGTGGACTAGGTATAATAGCAAAACATATCACAAGATGTTAGATTAATATACATATAGACCAACATGGAAATGTTATATATATTCTGTATATTTAAAAAAGATATTTTTATTAGATATATGTCTGAAATACATTTTTATTTAAATCAGTCCAATTAAAAAAGAAAAAAAAATATTAAGAACTGTTCATTTGTTGCTTTTAAATAGCTTGTTGACCAATAACAGAGAGATTAAATTTGTAAGATAGTCTGGAGACTAATAGCCCATTTGGGCAAAAAAATATACGATATACTAAATGTATATATTTATAATATACATTACTATTTGACAGTTTATTAAAACTAATTTTAATGGCCTAAATTTGCAAAACATTGAGTTTATAGTTCTGTAAGTATAATCAGTACACTCTTTTTTTTTAAATATTTTTTCAAGTATTATAGCGCATTTACGGTGTTAAAACATAAAACAATGAATTTCTTACCTTTGAATGATCAGTATAAAATAATCTTAATTTTCCTATTCTTTCTCTAATTATTATAAAACATTGTTATTATTATTATCCTATTTAAAAATTATTGTACTTTTATTTATACAGTTTTAGTATAATAAAAATTTGCAATTTATGTATAAGAAACTTAGAACTATTCATTGATTTTTCAGTATTGCAGAAGAAAAGCGTACAGTGGGCATTTGTGAAATTTCGCCATTAGTTTCATATGCTGGCGAAGTATGTATTGTACTGATTTATTATTTTAACTATTTTATCACTTGTTAATATTTCATTAATGCAGCTAATATTTACATGGATTTCACAATAAAAGCTTTGGATTCCAAGATTTTTTAACATAGTGTCTGTGTTAGAATAATCCATATTTCAATCTATTTTGGAGGTTTTGAGATATGACATTAATTGGAACTCCTAAACATTAAAAAAATGTGCAATAAGGTGAATGTTATTTTTTCATTAAAAGAGAAAAACTGTACAAGATGCTAACAAGTAAAGTAGAAAGCATGTATTATTCAACAGTTAATGATTGTTTATGTCAAATGATGAAAGTTATGCATAATATGTTTTAATATATATGTCTAGTTTGCTTGTACTTATCAGCTGAAAGATTTAGATACATAAACAAATATTATACGAATTTCATTAAAAAATTTTAAATAAAAGTTAATTTGATCTTTTGATTCATTAAAGTAAATTGCATTTTTTTTTAAATTATAAGTATTGGCTATAATGCAGTCCATCATAAGTATTATTCGGAACTACTTATCTACATATGATCAATTTTTTGCTTATGATGTATTAACAAACCAATGGTCATGCAGATCACCATCCTTTAGAATATTATTCATTAGAATAGTTTTATGTAATTGTATATTGCTGAATTTTGAACAATACACTCTTGAAAAGAAAGTTCTGTTGCTTACATAATGAGATGGTTGGACTTTGCTGAGGCAGTGATCATATGAATTTGGTGTTGGCTGTTAACAGATGTAAGGTTTCATCTTTAGATACAATATTATACACTGATGCAAAGAAGTATTTTAATGTACACTGAAGAGATATTCATATCTCTAATATGTTGCTTCTCCCAAAACTGCTAAAACATCTGGTCAGAAAAATGGACAACTGTGTTTGTGTTTTAAAATAGTAAAATTTTTAATTTTTTGCATATTGAATATTAATCCTTAGAATATTTTAACATTAAATGGTTTCAGTATTTATGCTTTTAAATATTTTGTGTTTATTACAAAAAGCCTTGCAATAGAAATCCGGGTATTTACACATTAATTTTCTTTGCAATATAAATACTTGCGTCGCATTGGTGTAGTTACTGATGATGTCTGTCTGGTGAAACCATGGAATTTCTTCATTTGACAACTTGCACTTCACTTGATTTTTATGACTTTTAATTTTGACAACTTTACCAAGGCTAAATTTATTGGACTGCCAGAGGTCTCCTGGCAGATATCGCTACAGACTGATGTATGAAAAAATATTTCTTTGCAAGATATCCATTATAACTTTTATTTCAAATTATACCAGATGGTAGAGTGGCTAAAGCATTGCTTTAGCCACTTCCTAACTACTTTACCCACTTTAACTAAAGCACTGCTTTGGTGACTTCTGAATTTGGCAAAAATAATTGAGCAAAGTATTGCATTAAATTTTGTTTCTCTAATTGAATTTCTGCTACACAGCATAGTAGCAAAAATCCTTTTGAGATTATCACTTTGAGGTTTTGAGTAGTACAAGATGTTTGAGGGAGGTAGATAATATGTAGAGACATTAGGTATTTTTTGGAAGCAGGCAATATGAAAAATGAACAATCGCCTTTAACAGGAATTGAACCACTGACCTCTGGAATACCGACCAAGCGTGCTGAACCACTACATCACTGTAGCGGCAGTGCCAAACAGGCGATACAGATTCAAAAAATCTGGAGAAAAGCACCAATTGGCGAAACAACATACAAAGACAGTAAACCTGTTTGGCAACCCTACGGGCTGAAGGGAAGAGAAGAATTTTTTCCCAGCAGTTCTGAGTAACGACTTCAGTCTGTGTGCATATGTGAAACTACTCCAGTCTTGTGCCTTCAACGTGATATGTAAATTCCGTATCTGGACTGCATGCTTCCTTAAGCCATTATTATGTATTGGGTGTAGCTAGAGGGGGGCAAGGGGCATCTGTCCCCGGGCGCAGAATGCAAGGGGCGCCAAACTGATGTTACGACATTTTAGAATTAAATGTTTTCCATCCTTGGCAAGCAGTAGGGGCACGAAATCTTCAGTTGTCCCTGGACGCTGAAAACCCTAGCTACAACTCTGTTATGTATCTACATTACTTCTCCTTATTAAATCTCATTCTTAATGTTATATGCCTATCTCAATTTTGATTGCTATTTTTCTAGGTGAGGTTATCTTTTGTAGGCACGCGTTATTCGCGCATACCTCACCACGAAGGCACGCTAGGAAGACAGGAGAAATGCCTGATAAATGTAATTATTACATGTGATGTACAAGATGGACCACACTCTGTTAGACCATCCTCTTCAACTTCTACCTTTTATATGAGCAAAATTTTGACATAACTCAGAAGATTTGTTAACCTAGCAATCATTGTTGCACTATTTAAGATTTAATTAAATATGTTCGTGTATCATGATTTGGCAAACAATTTAGAAACTTCGTGCAATCTTGTGGCGTATCACTTCTCGAGTTGTTTCTAAACTGCGGAATTTTTTCAAAAACCACATTCAAATGGCCACGAGATTTTCTCTAGATCAGTCACTTTTAAAATGCATTATTATCAGTGATAAAATATATAGATCTAAATTTTTGATGTAGAAACAACAATCAAATGAATGTCTCCAGAAAGGTGAGTTTACCATGCCAACATTGGTAAAAAATCAAGGATAGTGCTGACCATTTTATTTGACTGTTTTGATATTGTGCCTCAGGAACTTTCATAAGCTGGCTAAATTGTTAAAAAAATTGTATGATTTGTGGCATTGTGGGAAGCAGTTCATTGAAAATTATCTGAATTTGTGGTGATAGACTCTGCATTAATAATGCACCTGATTGCAGTGCTTTTGCCGTTTGTGAAATTTTGTCCCCAAATGCAGAAAAAATATGACTCTGCAAGCTCCATATTTACGTGATATGGATTACATGATCGGATTCTGATTTATAAAAGGAGGCTTGAGGTAAAACTTATGGAGGTTTCTGTTGCTCTAATTCTTTTCAGTGTAGTAGATAACACTGAAGCAAAATATTGATTTAATGCAATTGAAATGCACAGCAGGTATATATATCACCTTCAAAGCTATGTAGATGAAGCCAACTGTGCTTAAACAGTCAAACTGGTCTTCCTTAGTATCCATACACTTCTGCCATTACTATGCCAATGACTGGATAATTTAGTGAAAGAAGTCGGGAATGTGTAATGCAAAGTTGTTAGCTGCATGCTCTGGACCTCTTCGTCATCAGTGAATATTTTTTGACTAAAAATTGGTTTAAGTTGATGAAAGAAGCTGTTAATTGAGATTCATACTGTAGTTCATTAAGAGTCTGTATAGATACTGGAGTGGATAGTTTCATGTAATAAGGAGGGAGCCATGTGTGTTGATTGTGTGTTAATGTGGCATTTCACGGGGTTTAGTGCTATAATTCACTATGATCATTTTGCCCTTGTGAAGTATAGTAGTATGGTAAATTATTCTAATAGTAAACCATCACAAAATCAGAAATATCTTTTATTTAGATGGAAGGGTTATATTGGAAGATGCTGTAGTGGTTGTTCATGATTAACCCTTGTGAATAATCATTTGTGATCATCATGGTAAACACAATTTTCATCATATGTGAAATTTCTTTCAATTTTCCCTTTAGCTAAGGGAGATTGGCTACTTTCAAATGTCATGCCTATTTGCTTGGTGTTAACTCTTCATCTTACTGATAACCTGAAGGTACTGAACAATTGTGGTGAGCCGTTTAACTTTCTCTGCAGTAGCATGAAACATTTTGCTCTGGATCAGCTTCTATAGTATTTTTGAGGAACTTATTTGAATCTGAGAATGATCGTTGGCCACAAGGCTCAGTTTCAGGTATCATATTGCCAATATGAAATTTCATACACTATCAGCATATGGTGCATCCAGTTAGCCATTCCTTGGGCAACTATGATGCTAATATTTCAATTTAAACTCATAGTGTAAATATATTCATAATTATGTCTTTTGTGTGGGCCATTATGAGAACTCTTGTTTAACATAATCTTACTTATTTGTTTCTTTGTATCTCAACGTATTCTGCAAATTTATTGTGATGCTGTTACACTGTTCGTGGCCCAGAGACTGTGCTTGCATCATATCTGTAATCTGACATTTCAATTTTCCCAGCCCAATATATAAGTATTTTCTGAAGTGATCTAAAAATTTATTATTCATTTCTTAAAAGTTGTTTAAACAAAATATAGATTTCATTTTCCTGTATGTTTTGCTTTGATGGTTTCAGTTTGTGTTGTGTAAAATAGTAAGGTCCATTTATAAATATTGACTGAAATTTTGTGCATGTATGAAAAATGACATGGGATTAGAATGATATTCCACTACATGTTAACAGGAAAGAAAATCTGAGAATAATATGTAGATTATGATCTGGAGCTGATGCGGTTGGTCTGATGGGAGCAGGAAAATAGTTCAAAGATGCTTAGAATATAAAGCTGGTGATGGTTGAAAAAGTATATTTACAAAAAGCAATTAATTGAATATACATTTTATTTTATAATTCAAATATAAAAAACAGTTAAAACATGAGTATTAAAAAATTGAACAATCTGAGTAATACAAAATATATGAAAAAAAGAATGTATGGTCACAAAATATGCCAGCTGTTGCATAAGAAAAGAGAAGGAAAAAATTAATCCTGAATAAACATTAAATGTTAATTGTATTAATTGCTATATTTAAATTGAAGCACTTGTTGTTTAAAATAATACTTGTGAATTTCTAATATAAAATAAATATTAATTTTAATAAAATGCAACATTTTAAAAAGAAATTATATTAAAATTATTTATGAATGCATAAATAATAAAGTTATTTGCAAAGCTATACCTCAATCGCTTGTTAAATTTTAAACAATATTATTAAAACCTACATAATGCAACAGACCAAGACAAAGATTGAATATGTTAAGAAGGAAAAAAAAGAAACGAGACATTTTAAATATGCAAAATTAAAAAAAAAAAAAGTAAAACATAATACATTAATTTTTTAAGGAAAAATTCACTTGCTTGTCTTAGATCATTAATTATGCTATCATTTTATATTAACCCAAGAAATCTGCTTTATAATTCATCAGCAAAAGTGTCTTTAAATGAGATTGCATTTGTTTCTAACAGCTATTTTGCATTAGATTTAAATTGAGAGAATTTTAAACCTTGTTTCTGAAAATATAACAAAAAGTTATAAAACACTATTGTAAAATTAGGTTAAATATTTCTCCAAATGAAACTTTACTCAAGATTGAAATTTTTTAAAATTCAGATTTAAATCCTGTTATGAGTTCAAATAATGTTGTATAAATAATGTGAAATAACCTGAATACGTCCTCCTGCTTTAAATTTCAGTCATTCTCTTTTGAATTAATTCTGTTCTAATAAATCAAATAAAGCCTGCATCAAATACATACTGTTATTTTCTATCATAAGTTTTAGTCTGCAAATTTAATATTATTAGTGAAATAACTTCCACTTCTGAAAAAAAGGTTTATCTGACGACAATAATATTAATGTTTAAAACCCTATCTTAACCAACCTATGGAATTCAAACCAAACTATAATTTCACTATTATTAACCTAATGTTTTTTATAATTTGTACTATCTTCCCATGTTTGCCTCAGCGTTTCATTATATAGTCTAATTTATTATATATAGCATTTTCATTATATAACTAGCTGTTTCTAGTTGTAATGTTGTTCATGTGAATTTGTGTTGTGCATTGCAAATTAATGTATGTTATGTAAAACCTGTATGCAAATTGTTGAACTGCAGTGCATCTATTCTGCTGCTTATACAGTACAAAGTCCGTAAACCGGACTCGTTGGGACTTCGGCGATTCCGGATTAAGGGTTTTCCTGGATTATAGATCGTCAATTTAAATCTGGTAAGATGGCATGCAGAAATTATACAATTAAAAATATTAAACCGTAATTTATGAAATAAAGAGCAATTATGATCTAAAGGGTACCAAAATTTAAAAAAAAAAAAGAGCTTAATATTTGTTTACTTTTAAACATTTCTCTCAATGATGTGTATATGAGCCAATTTTCCTTAGAAAGTCCTCCACAAAGGCATCCCTCCCCTTAGGCAGATAGCCCTCGAGGCTTTGCCATAACTACACACACACAAACAAACAATTTCTTTCAATGTAAGTTGTTTGCTTCGTTTTTTGTGCTAAACACGCATGAGTATTATTAAACGCGCATGTGTAAACGCATTTACGTGCATGAAGAGAAATTATGATCTAAAGGGTATCAAAATTTACACCAAAAAGCTTAATATTTGTTTATTTTATTAAAAATTTTCTTTCCAATATAAGTTGTTTGCTTTGTTTTTGGTGCTAAACGTGCATGCGTAAACTCATTACATGCATGAAGAGAAATTATCTAAAGGGTATCAAAATTTGCAAAAAAAAAGCTTAGTATTTGTTTACTTTATTAAACATTTCTTTCAATGTAAGTTGTTTAAGTTGCTTTATTTTTTTTGTGCTAAACATGCATGCGTAAACGCATTACGTGCATGCGTAAAGCATACAAAAAAGAAAAGTTAGTGGCTTTGAGGTCCGGATTGTAGATCATTTTGGATAATGGACGTCCGGATTACGTATTTTATACTGTATTGCTGTGTTGTGTTCATTGATCGCAAGAATCCAGGATCATCTGTTTTATATTTTCATCATTTAATTAAAATTGTAAAATATTACATAAAATTTTATATTCTTATGCACTTCATTAATAAACTGCAATAAAAAAATTTTTTAGGGCTTGGAAGAGCTGGTTGCTGGTCGTACATTTTCTGGTCCTGTTATTATCAGTTCTCCAAGGGAGAGGATACCAGTTTCAGATGACAATGGGAACAGAGATTGAAAGAATACCTTGAAACCATGATGTGAACATAAATTGCAATTGGTCTGGGTAAACAAGACTGTTAGTAAATGCTGAAAGTGGAAACTGATTACTGGAGATGTGCTGGAGAGCCTTAATTGGGAATTCGATTTCTTTTTAAACATTCCAATTATAGTGACAACTTATTTGGTACTGGCAGCTTGAAATAAAGCAGAACTTTGACATAAAACTATTCTTGTGGACACTAATAGAACACAGTAAAACAAAATGCATAGAATCCAGTAATTCTGAGTTATATATAAAACTGCATTTAAAAAGCACAAAAAAAGAACTTTTTTATTTATGGTAAATTATCACAAAGGTGGTTAATTAGAAAATTTTATTAATTATCTACATCAAATCCAAACTTCAAATTGTGTGTTAGTATGTGGAACAAAGAGTGCAAACTTAAACTTGAGTGATATGGCAGAAATCACTGCATGTATTTGTATTGTAAATTACTTAAATTATTTTACTTACTGCTGTTTATTCTGCATTTTTTCCTCTTTCAGTTGCCCTTTTATTATGAAGAACTCAAATTTTTATGTATATTAATAGTTGTGTATAAATTACTTCCACAATTACATTTTTTATTTCAGAATTCAGACATTATGAATTAACACATCTGTGATTAGAATCGTGTGTTTAAAATGTAATTTGAATTAATTTCATAAATTTAATTAATATTGTAACAAATTTTTATTTTGTTACTGTAAAACTAGGCTAATATGTGGCAGTTTTTAGACAGTCTGGTTATAGAGTTCCTTAAAATCTTGAGCTTTAATATTTGAAATCAAAGAGCTCACTGTATGCATTTGTCTGCATTCTGATTCTTATCTTTTTGAGTTTGAGTTATAAGTATTTCACATTCAAAATGTTTTCACTTTTAGTTTAATATATTTTTTTAAATGTGATTTTAATTCGATGTACTTAAAATGCTTTTAAAGTTGTACTTCTTGTAAAATCAAAATATTATATAACTTTGTTACTGAGTTTTGTTTTATAGTTTTAAGAATTTTACCTGTATTTATTGATTATTTCAAAATTTTGTACAGTAAATTAATCGATGTAAATGACTGTACATCACTCTTGTTTGCTGCACTTTTTAAACTTTGCAAAAAGAGATTATTTTTTTAAAGATATTTTTATACTTGTATGTTAAATGTGACTTTTAGAAATGAATGGATGTTTTTTCTAAAAAATAATAAAAAAAATCTGTAATAAATGTTCCAAATAAATATATTTTAAGGAATATTTTCTCTCTCTCTCTTTAAAAAAAAACTTGAATTTCTAAATGACATACATATTTGTATCGGTTTAACCATTTCTAGCATCATTTTTTGTGCTACACTTAAAAATTTTCTAATTTGTTATGTTTATATTTTATGTAAGAAATTTACAAGGACTGTTAAAATATTCACGGATTGAGGTATATTAGGCTAGGTGTGCAGAAACAGTTTTCTGATTGTTAGTCATGAAAATAGCCTATACAGTCAAAAGTCGTTAATCCGGACACCCATAATTCGGAATGATCTATAATCCGGACCTCAAAGCTAAAAACTTTCTGCGCATGCGCATAGGCATTTACGCGTGCGCGTAAGACCTCTTACGACTGCGCATTTGCGTGTGCGCAAGCGCAGAATACGTTTTTGCGTGCGCGTTTTATGTATAACGGACGGGTATAAGCTAAAATTATCTAATTATCTAAATCAGTTAATGTTGATGATTGCATTGTTCCTTAATTTTCGAATTGGATCCGGCTTATTATTTTTTGCAGACTTTAAGAGCAATACTATAAAAGTAAACTTGAACTTTCGATTATGTCAAATAGAATTTTAGATTCTGTAGCTCCCAAAGGATCGTTTTGTTTGATGGGCAACGAAGTATGTTTCGATGCCTGTCAAACAAAAAGTGGAATTGCTGCAAAAAATGGATAAAGACATGAAGAATGTGACAGAGAGGTTAGTGAAAACGAAAAAATTTCGATTGACAAGTTAGTCGGTATTCTCGGCACAGCAATTAACGGGACTTGAACAGCGGAACTTTGTAACTGAATAAAAAATTATGTCTGTTTATAGAATTAAAGAGAAAGTATTATCACATAAAAACGAAGCAACTTAAACAACTTACATTGAAAGAAATGTTTAATAAAGTAAACAAAATATTAAGCTTTTTTTGTAAATTTTGATACCCTTTAGATCATAACTGTTCTTTATTTCATAAATTACGGTTTCATATTTTTAATTTTAGAATTTCTGCATGCCATCTTACGCGATTTAAACTGATGATCTATAATCCGGAAAAATCGATAATCCGGAATCGCCGAAGTCCCGACAAGTCCGGATTAACGACTTTTGACTGTATTATATTTTTTTGTTAACCCATTTATTTGTTTATATCCATTTATTTATAAGAGTTGAACTGCAGTATGGCTTACAATCGCAAATGAGAAAATGTTTCTTCTGGATAATGCTAGATAACGTATGGCATGATAGACTATGGAAGCATTGGTGAAATTAATGAGCAGTTTACAATCTTAATTTTCTGTATATCCCAGATCTTCTAGAAAATTAACATAAACCAGGAAAGGAAAGTTCTCAAAGTGTACTTGAATATGAGCCAGTTTTCCATTAAGGTGTTTCTATGGATTTCCACTATGGATTTTCAAAGGTTAAAAGTACTTTCCATGAAGGCATCCTTACTCTTGAGGAGGTAGTCCTTGTATGCTTTACCATAATCCAGATAATCTAATTGGGCACAATTTGAAATTTGTCTCCTAAACCTGTATTTTTTAGCCTTTCATGTATGCAATAAGTTTCAAGATTTACTAACACATAAAAATATACTCATTTCTTCTTCTCTGCAAGAATTTAATTGAGAAAGCTTCACTATCCTGTTAAACATTATCCTATTGCTTAGAAAATAATTGCAGTTTTTAGCAGTAGTATGGGGTATAAATATTTTGCATTTCTGTCAAATTTCAATTAAGCAAAAAATAAATAAATAAATAAATAAATAAATAAAATAAAAGTAATGTAGATTGCAGAAAACAAAGTACTGAAATTTCCTGGTGCCATGATTTAAAGTAAAAGTCTTCATCTAACACAAATTACTTGAAATATATAGCTAACAAATGTAGCAGAAGATACCAGGACACAAACATGAAAGAGTTACCTTCGTACAGAATCTGTGTCTGTAACAAAACACATCTTTATATAAAATATATCAAAAAGGAAATAATGGCAAGCCAGCTGTGCTTTCATTCAAAGAATCACTACAGCCAAATGTAATATCAATAAATAAACATATAAAAAATGAGTGTAGAAAGTAGATTGAGAAATAAAACTTCTTAAAGTATTGTCTGTTAACTATTTTCTTTAAACCCATTCCATTTCAAGTACGTCCAAGTGGTCGAAAGCACGAAAGAAGTACCTGGCAACACAGCTCTATCTTGTTAGAAAATTAAGTCGTATGTTATAACTGTTTGAAATATTACCATTTGTCTCGCAACGGTAATACGTGATCCACAGCTTATTACACATGTACTTCCTGATTAATGAAAATAGACTAAAGGAGCACTGTGGGTTTTTGAGCCCTGTCTGTCCGTTTTTTCATCTGCAGCAAAGGTAAATGTGCGTCTCTATTGAAATCCAATTAGCTATATTTTTTTATATTTTTGTACTATAAAAGTAACTGCAAAATATATCAAAATATATTGTCAAATATCAAAATATAATTTTAGAACATAATTGACACATGATTCTTATAGTATTTGTTCTTTATTAATATATAGAAAGGTGCGTGTAATAATTTATAATTTTTAAATGAAAATGCTAAAAATTACATTTTTGATAATATTTGATACTACTGCATTATACCATTCAGTGTTAATTTGCAAATGCTAAAATTAAGCATAATGTGTTAAAATTGAAATTGTTAAAATTATTAAAATTTCAAATAACATTGCAATTCTAAGAAGCATAATGCATGAATTGCAAACTTTTTTATAATTTTTTTATTATATTTCTTGTATTTTCGAAGCAAAATCCTCAATAATTGCGTTTTTCTTGCCTTTTTCGAAGCGAAATTGGCAGCAACGTCGTAGCTTAATTTATGTTCTATAGAAAAAACAGCCATTTTTGAAAGATTTTTTTTAACTGTAGAAACATATTTAAACGCTTTTTTATTATTTTATGTTCTTTACACCCTAATAATAACTGACAAGTTTTAAGGCGTTATTAAGGCAGTTTTCAAATCTGCATACATTTGAACTATTTTATGTTTCTGTATTAGTTGAAAGGACTAATCTACTTTAGTGACCAGAATATTACAACAAATGCAATAATGGAGTGTCTAAAACTAGATATTTCTGATGAAATTAGAGAATTTACATCATTTACATATTTAAATCTTAAATTATCAGATGCTTCTTTTAAAATACCTAAATCCAATGTTATTGATTAAAGTTTTAACTAGTTATATTAAAAAAGCTGGATACAATCTCTCTTATTTTTCATATCTGCATTTAAATTGTGAGATTAAAATAACCATTTCTTTTATTTCCTCTGTGAAAAATATTTTTAAATGTATTCTTTTATCAATTGATTATTAAAAGTCTAATTTATTAACCTTTTTCTTCAATTTCTTTAAATTCTGTTGGTATATTTATATTCATCTTGAAGAAAAATTTTCAGGTATATCAAGAATATTTTCTCTTTTTTTTTTTAGTCCAAAGGGTTTTTTTAGTCCTGAAGGTCTATTTTTTTTGCGATTTTGCATAGATTCACTACAAACGGGGAATCACTTTTCAAACCGTTGCCACAAAGTATTATCGCTCTGTGGTATATTTGAAGAAATTAAATAATGAAAAATCCATTTCTCGCATTGTGATAAAACAACGGTACATAGAACTATCGAATTTTTGAATGACGTAATCCTCCTATGAATATGGGCATGTGGAACACCAAATTTGAAATTTGTTTTATTATCAATTTCCTATTTTGTAAAACTTTAACGAATTTTTGATTAACGAACTCAAGGATTTCAAACCGAACAAAGGCAATGTTGTAAAAAAAATAATAATAATAAAAATGATAATAATAATCTCCAATGCGCGAGTCTTTGTATCCGAAATTCTATTGATAAGCTCATTTTAAAACTATTTTGGGATATTGCTGTTGAACTGAAATTTTATGGTTTAAGTGCAAAGAACATGATACTTTTAATAAATAAATGTAACATATAAAATGTTAAAAAAACGCCCTTTGGACGTAATTTAAAATCAAACCTTTCAGATTTTTTTTTCAGAAAAAAAGAAAATCTTTTTATCACATTTGTTTTATTTAATATGATAAAGCAACTTGTTGTTGCTTAATAGAAGTAATGCTTTCGCGGAGTAAGTTCTAAGGAAACTCTTTGTATTCATATCCAACACGAAAATTTTCATTCACCCTCACCTTCATCCAAATGGAACTGGGTTCAAGCTGTCTGTATTCAGCGGCCTTATCTACTCCGCTACGGGAGGAACAAAGTCTTTGAATATAATTATTTCCTGAGAGCTTTAGTTGTCAGATGTTACTACTGATGTTTTTTTCTTATATAAATTATGTATAAATGTCTCTTTTGATTAAAACTTTAATAAAAAAACATTTTATTTTAATTTGTATTACAGGTAGCTTTTCAGAACAATATTTGTTACTATTAATGCTTATGATATTAGCGATATTTTGGGGAGATTGTGTTGTACTAT